ATACACATCTCATATAATTCCACCATATAGAGGGGATTGTACACATCCCATATAATTCCACTGTACAGAGAGGATTGTACACATCTCATATAATTTCAGTGTTTTGAAACTTTATAACATAATAAATATGTAATAGTAAAGACTGTTTCTTAACATTTCCCTCATGACCCTATAAAGGAGTCACTGGGGTTACAAATGTGTACCATTGCACACAGCTTCATTTCTTAAAAATATGTTCTTATTTCTTATTTTATTTTATGTATATGTGTGTATTGCCTGCATGTAGATAAGTGCACTCGTGTTGTGCAATGCCTGTGGAGAACAGAAGAGGCTGTTGGATCCCCTGGAACTGGAATAAACAGACAGCTGTTAATGGACAGTTTCTGGCATGTGGGTGCTGGGATTCGAACCCAGGTCTTCTGCAAGAATAACCAGTGTTCTTAACCTCTTAGCCATCTTTCCAGCCCCCCCCCAGCTTCGTTTTTTTAGCCTTCCTTCCTTCCTTCCTTCCTTCCTTCCTTCCTTCCTTCCTTCCTTCCTTCCTGTGTGTGTACACATGGGCATGTGCCACATCACACATGTGGAGGTCAGAGAACAACTTTTGGAAGCCTGTTTTCTCCTTCCACCATGTGCGTTCTCGGTATTGAACCCAGATGGTCATGCACCTCAGCACTGCTGAGCCATCTTTGACCCACACCTGAATTTCCAATTTTTAATTGGGTGCTGTGGATCTGAACTCAGGTCTTCATGTTTACACAGCAGGCACTTTACCCACTGAGCCATCTCCCAAGATTAGCCCTCCTGTGAACTCTTAATACTAAGTTACCCTGTGTATGTGTGTGCTATAGGCCTGTGGGGGACCACAAGGAATCATAATAGCCGGGATTTGTCCACCCCCAAGTTCCTGCCCCCGTGTTGGGAATCCCACACTGAGAACATGGACTTTGGCCACACACTGTACCTTTCCCACATTCACTTGTGTGTCTGTTCTCGTTTTCCTGTATGGTTTACACTGTGTATGGAGAAAGGCCCAGAGGGGTTAAGTAACTTGCCTAGCGTGGACACAGCTAGGTTTGGAACCAAGGCAATCTGGCTCCAAAGTCCTTACTTTTCTTCTCAGCTGCGCACGCTTGCATGTGCGCCCTCTGTTGCCCCAGAACACAAAATTCAGAAATAGAGTGGGCAGTGTCCTGCAGCCCTTCCAGCCCTAGAAGTGATTCTTGACTCAAATAAGAACATGTCCCCAACCTAAGATTTTGACATGTATGTTTGTATGCATAGAATATATCATCTTCATATTTTTTAATGTGAGGATAGCTGTCCAGTCTCTTTCCAATGTATTCACATGTACATATGCATGCGTAAGATATTTTTAAAAATTAGAAGCACACTGCATATAATGTTTTTTTCATTCATGTTGCTTGGCTTAAAAATGTATTGGTGGGGGAGGGCTGGAAAGCTGGCTCAGCAATTAAGAACACTGACAACTCTTGCAAAGGACTTGGGTTTGATTCCCAGCACCCACATGGTGGCTAACAACTATCTGTAATTCCAGGTCCAGGGTATCTGATGCCCTCTACTGACCTCTGTGGGTATTACATGGCATAGGTGCACTTACACATATGCAGACAATACACTCATACACATAAAATAAAAATAATAAATAAAATCTGAAAAAAATGTATTCATAGGGCGCACGAGATGCCTCGGTGGGTAAGAGTGCTTTTCTTGTTAGCATGAGTTTAAATCCTCAGGAATCACACCAAAAGCTGGATGTGGCCACACGTGCCTGTGGGAAATGGAGACAGGAGGCCACTGGGGCTGCTGGCTGCCAACCTAGCTCCAGTGAGAAACCCTGAATAAGATGATAGATCAGGACACCCACGTCCTTCTCTGGCCTCTGTATGTGAATGCACACCATACAGTTAATGTGCACATGCGTCCATATACACAGAGAAAAAACTATCTCAGTAGCTGCCTTGTCTCCACAGTTTATTAAGTGTGTGTCCTGTGATTTATTTAACCTCATCTGGATTATTCAGCTACCGAAGTGGCACAATGTATATCTGTGTACGTAATTTTTGGAAGTTGGAATTACAGAGCCAAAAGGTCTAAGCACTTTTGAAATTTATCTGCTCTCTATAACACCAAAATTTGCCTTCCAGAAGAGTATATCAACGTGCTCGTCCCATTCCCTGGCACACACTGGGTATTGATGGCTGGGTTTTGCTTTGGGTTTTGTTTTTTGTGTTGAAACAGGGTCTTACTACATAGCCCTGTATCTGGCCCAGAACCTGCTTATGTAGGCCAAGCTGGCCTCAGACTCACAGAGCTCCACCTGCCTCTGCCTCTGCCTCTGCCTTCCAGGTGCTGGGATAAAAGGCATGCTCCACTCTACCTGGCTTGTTAGCTATTTTCAAACATTGACAGCTTACAGCTGGGGAGATGGTTCAGTAGATAAAACGCCTGTCTGGAAAACATGAGGACCTGAGTCTTGAGTGGGATTCCCAGAACCTATGTAAAAAGTCTGCATGGACGTGTGCACCTATACCTCAGCACTGATGGCCAGCCAACCTAGTAGAATCAATGAGCTGCAGATTCAGTGAGAGACTCTATTTCAAATAAATAAATAAATAAATAATAAACAAGTTCCCTGTGTGCATGATACACAGAGAAAAAACTGGCCCCACTAAAGCTGTGTGCATTGGACCCCAGGTCTGTGCCCTCCACGGCATGAACATGCACACTTGTGCCTTCTACACCTCTTTGCCCTTATGAGTAAATGTATTGTGTTCTCAACTAACACATATAAACATGCACGTGCATTAACACCCCTACTCATTCATTCACACACGTGCATATGTGCTTGCCTGCACATAGCCATGCATACACACGGCCATGAATTTTGCATGCGGCCCTATCATGCTGAGCTAGGATCCCTGGTGTTCTTACTGCACCCCACCCCCATGCACCTTGCAGTTAGCCTGATGCACCAAAAATACTTAGTGGATGGGAAAAAAAGAAGGCTCAGACTTCAAGCCAACAGGGATGTTGTCCCAAATATTCTTAGAGTATCTTTTAACAATGTGGCCAGTTTCAGTTGAAGCTGGAGGTTTAACAAGAAAATATCCCCATGGCATCAGATTTCAAACGCCCTGTTGGCCCTGCTTTTGATAGATTGGAAAGAATGTAGAGTTGAAAACAGGGCCTGCCCTTCCAAACACCAGCCCAGCTTCACTGCTTGGCCAAGTTTCCTGCCTCAGAAACAGCTGATTGAGGAATAGGCAGCTTGGCGCAGGGTCTTCTCCTTTATAATCCCCCCAAATATTCTAGTCCACCACTTCCGTGACTTACTTCCCGGTTCCCTCAGCCACTGAGCATTATGGAATCCCAGGACTTTACTGTTCCCCAAAGCTAGGTCATTGAGCTGCATCACCGTAAGGGAGTTGTTTGGGTTGGGTTGGGTTTTGAGTTTGGGGTTCTCCTGGGCGTGGAGCTCAGATGAGGAACTTGCAGACTTCTGCCCCTTTCAGGAAGGCGGAAAAGACATGGCTGAGAAAGGGCTTGTCTCAGTCATTTCCCTGAACATGAGTACAGTGCACCCCATTTGAGACCCTGCTATATGGTGTGATAAGACGAAGGGTCCATTAGAAGAGACAGACTCCCCCCGAGTAGCTAGTGGGGCTTACAGGAGTTGGGGTGACCCAGAGACTGCGGCAGTGCTAGGAAAGGATGCTCAGACAAAGGTAGGCTGGAGCCTAGTGGAGGACATTGCTTGGCTAAGAGGGCTGTGAGTATCATTCTAAGGACACAGATTTTCCCCTGTGGTGTGGGAGCCAGTAAGGATAGACTGCAGCAGGCTGACTGGGCAGGGCCTATCCTTAGCTGCTGCCAGTCCCCAGGTAACCCTGTGACATGACTGATGATGGCCCATCCGTACCATCGCTCCTCTCCCAGCCATCTCCAGTGAGGCCTAAGATCAGACCACACTTCGTTAAACCCTACAGCATGTTTCCAATGTTCTGAGTGCTGACCCGTCTGCCTCCTGCAGGGACAGGTCTGGTTTTTCCTTTCCACGTGGGGGAGTCGGGGGTGTGGCTGGGCTTCCTCCTGCAGGTTCCCACCAGGAGTGCCAGGGCCTGTGAACCATCTGGAACACATCTGAGGTGAGGCAGGGTGGGGCCTGGTGGAGCTGCAATGCCTCCTGCCTCCCCAAATAGGAACTCTGCTGACTTCCCTCTGTTCTCTCTCTTTTCCCTTCAGACCCCTGGGCTGTGCCCGGATGTTGATGTTTGTGGAGAGCCATTGCTTGGTGCCCGGATGTTGATGTTTGTGGAGAGCCATTGCTTGAGAGTCTACTGATTTCCTTTACTGTGTGGGAAGTTTTTTGTTTTGGTTTTCTTTTTGCTGTTAACTGTTTTTTTAATTTATTTTCTGTTGTTGAGTCGGGCCTAGACCCACTCAGTTGCCATGATGGCCCAATCTAAAGCCAATGGCTCCCACTATGCACTGACAGCCATCGGCCTGGGGATGCTGGTCCTTGGGGTCATCATGGCGATGTGGAACCTGGTCCCTGGTTTCAGTGCCACAGACAAGCCGACGGCTCAGGGAAACAAGACAGAAGGAGGTAGCGGCATCCTCAAAAGCAAGACTTTCTCAGTGGCTTACGTGCTGGTGGGGGCTGGAGTGATGCTGTTGCTCCTGTCTATCTGCCTGAGCATCCGGGACAAGAGAAAGCTACGGCAGAGCGAGGAGCTGGCCCACATCCATCAGCAGGCTGGGGCTGGGCCTCCCACCCAGGAGGAAGACAGGTGAGACCTACCATTGCTCCCTCCAACCTGAGGGGCATGCTCACACCAGGTACACTGCTTCTGTGAGAGTCTTTTATTCTACAAGACTTTCTTCTGTGAAGGCTCCACCCACCATTTTACAAATACCTTTGTGCTTACTAAACCCAGACTTCCCAGATCAAGTGATTCGGGTAGATTACAAGTGTACCACAGGAACAATGGGCCCTGGGGCCCAGAGCTCCAAGTTGGTTGGCTGTCCCTCTGTCCTGAGTGCTCTGTGTGTCTACTTTGTAATTTTTTATTTCTTTATTTTTATGTGTATGGGTGTTTTGCCCACATGTATGTAAGTGCACCCGTGTCATTCAATGCCTGAAGAGGCCAGAAGAAGGCATCAGAGCCCCTGGAACTGGAGTTACAGGTAGTTGTTAGCTGCCATGTGGGTGCTGGGTGCTGAACCCCAGTCCTCTACAAGTGAAAACAGTGCTCTTAACTGCTGTCCAGTCCCCCTGCTTTGATTTGAAAAGGTCAAGACGCAGTACTGCACTTGCCCCATAATGCCACAAACACATCTAAAAGATAGATGATAGATGGAGAAATATGTCATAAAGGTTGGTGTAGCTGCTGTGATAAAATGTCCTGACAAAAGCAATTTAAGGGAGAAAGGGTGGATTTGGCTCAGGGTTCTAGGTCATAGCCCATCAGTGTGGGAGCACCAAGACCAACGGAACTTGAAGCAGCTGGTCACATCACACCACAGTCCAGAACAGAGAACAATGAATTCATGTGTGCCTGCTCTCTCTCTCTCTCTCTCTCTCTCTCTCTCTCTCTCTCTCTCTCTCTTTCTCTCCCTCCCCCCCTCCCTTTCCCCCTCCCCTCTCCCTCCTGAGTGTAAGGCAGCTGGTCACATTGCATCCATAGTCAGGAAGCATAGATGCTGGTGCTCTGCTCACTTCTCCTTTTTATTCAGTCCAGGACCCCAGCCCATGGGTTTGTGCCTCCCACGTTTAGGATGGGTCTTCCTACCTCAGTTAACCTAATCTAGAAATTCTCACAGACATGCCCAGAGACTTGTCTCCTAGGTGATTCTAGATCCTGTCAAATTCACAATCCATATTAACCATCACAACCTTGATATGTTTTCCCATCCATAAAATGGATGTAGTAAAAGCCCTTATGCATAGTGTGCTCAGAACAGGAAATTGGATCTTCTGTGCTACAACACTTAGACTAGTGCCCAGCTCACAGTAAACAGGGCAAGTGTTAGTATTGGTTACATTTAGAAGCCACATGTGGTTTGCAGAAATGGTGTGTGTGTGGCCCCAGTGCTCACATGCAAACCAGAGTCCACTCTTGGGGACTTTTAGTGAGTTGGGTGTGTGCTGACAGTGTACCTGTTTCTCACCCTGCAGCCAGGAGGAGGAGGAAGTGGCCTCACGGTACTATGTCCCCAGCTACAACGAAGTGGTGAACACCAGCTACTCGGAGGCCAGGGGGCAGGAGCAGAACCCAAGGCTGAGCATCTCACTCCCCTCCTATGAATCGCTGACGGGGCTCGATGAGATGACACCCACAAGTGTCAGGGCTGAGGTAGAGACCAGCCCTGGCCACACCCCGGACAGGCAGAACTCCAAGTTGGCCAAACGCCTGAAACCACTCAAAGTTCGAAGGATTAAATCGGAAAAGCTTCACCTCAAAGACTTTAGGATCAACCTTCCAGACAAAAATGTTCCTCCTCCATCCATTGAGCCTTTAACACCTCCACCGCAGTATGACGAGGTCCAGGGAAAGGCCCCTGATGCCCGGCCACCTGACTGAACGACCCCTCTGGCCACATCCCCGCCTGTCTCACCCTCCGCACCAACAGACTGCACTGAAGCAACTTCGGCCCCAGGTGAGGGTCCGATGCACACTTAGCCATTGGGATTGGGGATTTTGTGCACAGGAAGTGACTGGCCCGATGCTTCACAGAGCCTCACATAGCAGGTTCATCAGAAGGACGCTTGTGATTCCCTGGACTGCATCAAGAGGTGTGGCCCAAGCGTCTTCCCCATCTTCCTTCCCAACTCCAGATCGTAGGCAACACACTCCTCTTCTAAGCTGGGACAGGATCTTCAGCGACTGGTTTAGATCCTGGTTGTTTGTTTTCCTTCCACCATAGTTACTTTGTGTCTAAAAGGAGCCAAGTTTTGTGTCCGCTTCCATCACCGGAGTTTTGAACTGGAGGAGAAAATAGGATTTAGCTTTGACCAAAAGGACATGGGACTGTTCTGTGAACGCAACGGTGATTGTGTGGGGTGGGCTCAGGGGATGGCTCTCTAGGGGGCCCCCCATGTGGTTTGTTCTTTGAGGGCCTTAGGCCTGATCACCCTCAGCATGTGAAACATGAGGTTATTGAATTGGTACAACTCACCGGTCTCTTGTGTATTGAATGGCAAAAGAGGAAAACGTGTCCTGTGCCTTCTAAAATGTCATGCGGCTGAGCTTTTTATAATAAAGTATTTTATATGTAGCATACTGGACTGATGAGCTATTTTAGCAGCTTTCGAGTAAAATATCAATAATATCAGTTGGTAGACACGAAATATGTGATGCATGCTGAACGATGTTCTGAACACCGTGGGTATAAGTAATCCCATGTCATCTGTAACCAGTGGTACCGGTATCATCCAGCAGCTCACAGACCCTTAGGTGAAAGCACCCTGTGCCACACCACTGATGAGTCTCCCAGAGCCCAGGCTGTCTGGCTGCAGAGCCTGAGTTCTTATTCTGTGTGCCAAGCAGCTCAGGAAAGAACTTTTAGTTGTTGACTTGGAAGGAAGTCTAAGGATGCCCTCCTCAACCCACAGGCCACATGAAGGCATTGGTTTTTTAGAGCAGCTCACTCCTGTCTGAGCAGCTTCCTGTATCCCTCTCCCTGGAATAGGCCCCAAGAGAAAGCCCAGCCTGGTACCTGCCCCCCAGCACCGACCAGGGGTAACTATGTCCTCTCAGAGGGGACAGTAACTACTGTGCAATACATGCCACTGAGAAATTCGCTGGGGACCACAGACTGTTGAGGAGGGGAACCTGGGAAAGACCCAAGTCCAAAGGACTCCTGGGGATGTTTTTGGTTTTGGGCTTTTTTGAGACAGGGTCTCCCTTTAGTCCCAGCTGGCCTGGAACTCACTCTGTAGACCAGACTGGCTTCCATCTCACAGAGATCCACCTGCCTCTGCCTCTCTAGTACTGGGATTAAAGGCAAGTACCATTATGCCCCATGTATTTTTTTTAAAGTATGGGTATGTGTGTCTGTGTGGGTATGTGCACATGAGTGCAGGTGCCTACAGAGGCCAGAAGAGGGCATCAGATCCCCTGGAACTAGAGTTACAGCTGGTTGTGAGCCCCCAGATGTGGAAGTCAAACTCTGGTTTTCTGTAAGAGCAGAAGTGTTCTTAACTGCTGAGCCATTTCTCCAGACCCTCCTTCTGTCATTAGTGGTATGAAGAAGCCTGCTGGGAACCCATGTGCCTTGGAGCCTGTGTGGAAGAAAAAGTGGCCCAGTTCCAGGTATTTCCCAACAAGTTCCCAACATAAACTAGATGTGGTGATACAAACCAGATGTGGTGAGTCATGCCAGTAATTCTAGCACTCACAGATTGGAGGCAAGACAGTCATAAGATCAAGATCATCCTGGACTGTATAATGAGTTCAAGGGAAGCCTGGGCTACATGAGACCCTGTCTCAAAAAACAAAAATTTTTAAAAAGAGAAAAGAGAAAAATACAATGTGTTCAATATCTGGAGAAACCTTCCTGGAAACTAGCCACTTAGACTTCTGTGAACAATCTCTACCTGAGGACTGAGTCTGTGTGTGTGTGTGTGTGTGTGTGTGTGTGTGTGTGTATGACAGATTCCCTCTTTGTAGAACAGAGTTCATGAGGTCATGTCTTATTAGCTAGGAACTTTAACCACAGGTTAGAGTCCTGCCCTATGGCACCTTGGGTGGTGAGACAGTCTCTATAATATTAGCTTAAAGCCACCTGTCAAAGCAGGGCCATGGTCTATTTCCTAAAAGTACTCCCAAGGTACACTGACCTATTTGCTATTGGCTCCAACCTCTAACATCCTGAGAGATCTCTTTTTTAAAAAAAAATTATTTATTACTTTTATATGTACAAGTGTATTGCTTGCATGTATATAAGTGCACATGTGTCATGCAATGCCCACGGAGGTCAGAAGAGGGTGTTGGATCCCTGGAACTGGAATTACGGATAGTTGTTAGCTGCCATGTGGGTGCTTAGAACCAAACCCAGGTCCTCTGCAAGAGCAGCCAGTGCTCTTAACTACTGAGCCACCTCTCCAGCCCCCAGAACTCTGACCTCTTTTGACTACAAAAAAAAAAAAAAGTTTGTTTTAGCTTCATAAAACTTTAAAAAGAAATGAGAATGGGGGGGGGTACTAAATAGGTAAAACTCCAAAAAATGTCCTAGTCATTTCCATTTCTTCCTGTTGCTTACTTTCTTGTCTTGGTGGCCAGGGTCTAACCCTGGGTCTGGCACATGCTGGGCTCCACTCCCAGCCCTCTTCCGGTCACATCGCTGTTAAGATAAATAGAAGAGGGACGAGATGGGAGAGAGGAGAGCGCAGGAAGTCATCCAGCTGTTCTTGAGCCTCTAGTGGCCCAGGGCTGTGGTACAGCAGAGAGGAAATGGGAACCAAGGCTCCTTTATAACCTCAGCCAGACTCCCATAAAAGGAGGAATCTTGGCAGCCATGTGGTAGGTGTCATATGACCTCCACATTCTCAAGTTGCAGTTGACTGGATCTGAGGTGTGTGTCCATACAACCCAAGAAAACCATTCAGAAGCTGAGCTGTGAGAGGCATGTCTCTTCTGGGCACTCAGTCCTGGGATGGACAGGCTGGTGGCTGATGTGATCTTGGGGGATTAAGGATCTTCTGGGGATGGATCTCTGGGGACTGTCGTAAGGGGCCAAGACTAGGAAAGAAGATGCTCAGGTAGAAAAGACAAAGCTGACTGTAAATGACCATGACCTGCTGATCCTTTGTCCTTGTCCCCAGGCCAGCACCAAGTTCCATGAAAGATATCTTGTCCTCCCACAATACCCCCCCACACCATTTGTCTTTCTATTTTAAAAAATATCTTTATTCTTTGGCAATTCATACATATATATACGATGTATCTTGAACCTATCCATCCACAACTCTCCCCTCTCCCACCTCCCCACCTTCATGTCCTCTCCTGTTTTGTTTTCTGTAACCCACTGAAACCAGTTAGTACTGAAGGTTGACAGATATGGTTGACTTGACCATGTGCAAGTCTTGCACAGGTGACCACAGCTGCTGTTGAGTTCATGAGTGGAGCAGCCATGTTGTGTCGAGACGCCAGCATTTCACAGCACTCCATCCTCCAGCTCCTATGTACTTTCCACCCCCTCTTCCTTGATGTTTCCTGAGCCATTTGACTTGTCTTTGACACTAATTTACCTAAGCCCTTGTGGCCAGGGACTGTTCTTGGCCCAGGGTTGACACCCCAGCTGTGCTCAGTTTTGATCCTCAAGTTTCTCAGCCTTGTTATAGTTCTGGTGAGCAGGAACCCAGCTGGCAGTGGAAGCCAGAGTTCTGCCTCCACCTCCTGAGTACTGGGATTACAGGCATGCATCACCACACCTGGAGTATTAGCTACTTTTCTGTTGTGTTTAGAAAACACCATGCTGCAACCTATGAAAGAAAAAGTTTATTTGGGCTTGTGGATTCAGAGGCACAAGCCCGTCACAGCGGAGAGGCGTGGAAGCCAAGAACTCACATATTCAATAGCAAACATGAAGCAGAGAGAGAGGACAGGAAGTGGGGCCAGGCTATGAACTCTCAAAAGCCGACCTCAGTGACGTGCTTCCTCCCGCATAGAGACTCCATGATCTCCCCCAAACACCACCATCTTCTGGGGACCAATCATTCAAATAATTGAGCCCATGGGGGACACTCTCTTCCAAACCAGCATACCTGGTTTATTCAGTGCTGGGGATCAAACCTAGAGCTTTGTTCATGTTAGACAAGCGCTGTGGTGCAGAAAATGGGACTCAGTTCTGTCACCAGAAGCAGGCAGATCACTGGAGCCACAGCCTCTTTAGGGCATTGCACAAAGAGCTCTTCCAAGGATGAGTGTCTCTGACAATGACTGTATGTTCCTGGGACTCTCATGCAGGGTGTTCCTGTGTGGAATTGAGCAAGAATAGAACCACTCTGTGTTCTTCCTGTGAACCCATAAAGGCTCACAGCCCAGAGCCTTTCCTGCTCAGGCTGGCGATTCTCCCATCCCAAATGTCACCCAAACGCCCTCAATGAAGGAGGGAAGTTGTCCTGGGGACTCCAGTCCCAGAGCCAGCCCCTTAGTGTCAGCTCTATCAAAATGAACCAAGAGATGACTCAGCAGGTCAAGGCACTTGCAGCTGAGACTGATGACCTGTGATTGAGCCTCATGACCCGTATTTAGGCTGTCCTCTGACCCCCACACATGTACCATGGCAAACATGTGCTTATACACACACACACACACACACACACACACACAAATAACAAATTTTTAAAAATATTTTATTTTTGTTTTATGTGTGTGAGTGTATTGCCTGCATGTATGTGAGTGCACCCATGTCATGCAATGCCACAGAGGTCAGAAGAGGGCTTCGGATTCACCTGGAACTGGAGTTAAGGATGGTTTGTAGCCGCCATGTGGGTGCTGGAAATCAAACCCAAGTCCTCTGTAAGAGCAGTCAGTGCTCTTAACTGCTGAGCCATCTCTCCAGCCCCAACAAAATTTTTAAAAAATTAAAAATTAAAAGGAAACTATCACCCTCAGAGATCAGCTTCAATGTGTCACTTTACATATGTTAAAAAAAAAAAAAACAGGTGTAGTGTCGCACGCCTGTAGTCCCAACACTTGGGAGGCAGAGGCAGGTGGATCTCTGTGAGTTCAAGGCCAGCCTGGTCTACATAGTGAGTTCCAGGACAGCTGGGGCCAAAAAAAAAAAATCATTTTTACAAAACCTGTTTCCCTATGCCTCCTCCACACTAGACTTGAAAGTCTAATTCCCCATGGTGTGATGGAAACACATTTCTGATCCATTTATCCCTCTGTATCTGCTCCTGGCCTGCCTTTAATGGAATTTTACAAAGTTGTAAAAACCTGGAATTTGTTAATGTACTATAAAGGATCTGAAAAAGATAATGGGTACTTATAAACTCAGCTAGACTCCGAGAATTCATAGGTTATTTAAAAGCCTACTTGGGGACTGGATAGATGGCTCAGTGGTTAAGAGCACTGGCTGCTCTTGCAGAGGACCCAGGTTCAGTTCCCAGCACCCACATGGCAGTCAACAACCATCCATAACTCCAGATCCAGGGGATCTGATGCCCTCTTCTGGCTTCCATGGGCATTGTACACACTTGGTGAACATGCATATATTCATGCAGGCAAACACTCATAAAATAAATCTAAAAAACAATTTTAAAAAGC